CAACCTGTAGACGAGCTAGCCCTTTCTTGTTTAGACAAGTAAACAGGCTGTTACAGTAGTCGAGTCTTGTAGAGACAAAAGCATGGATTATCATCTCGAGTTCACTTATCGACACGATAGATCTAAGTTTTGAAAGCTTCCTCAAGTGAAAAAAGCAGGTTCTTACTATCTGATTTAAATGTCCCTCCAAAGAAAAAGCTTCATCAAAAATAACACCCAGGTTTCTAAGGTTATGTTTCTGTGAGGAACCTAAGTCACCCAGTCGCCGTTTAATATCAGGTATTGCACTGTCTGGTGCAATAATCAAAGTTTCTGTTTTGGCCGGGTTTAGCTGTAACCAATTATTGTTCAACCATTGTTTAATGTTGGTTAAACAGTCAAGTTATTCGTGTTAATATTAGTTTCCACCAACAGTGGTGATTCCATTTGGTAGATTTACACAGTTTCCACCCAACCAAACTCTCTAAATCTTTGGTTATGGACTAAACAATAACATCCAACATGTTCGTTGTTCAGTTTTAGAGGCTCCCAGGCGGATTTTGTTATCAGAACAGGTCTTAAAACACATTCCTGACACAGGAATTAATATTCCTGTGCAGACATTTACTATAAAGTCCATTAAGACATCTTTTCAAATGTTGTGCTTTTTTTTAATATAGGATGTGACATATTAACCTTCTGAATACTTTCACTTGGACATATAATCTGTAATATCAAAACTACTCAGAACCAGAGCTTGATACTATTAAGAGTTTCTGAGGAATTTCAGGCAAATAACTCAGTGTTAGATTGTAAAAAAACAAAAAAAAACAAGCGGTGGGTACAACAGTGAGGCAGAAACGACAGATTCAACTGTAAAATCAGATATACTGTAAAAGATAAACAGGACGACTCTGTTGAAACCTGGTATCCTTCCATCACTTACTTGGAAAGAGATTATGATCGTAATAGCTGTTGCATGTCCTGGTGCATTCACAGTGCCCATTTTTAGTGGAAAATCCATGTTCTCTTATAATCCTTTTTTTCTTGCAGTTTTTTTTTTTTTTTGTTTAACTGTGTGACATATTCTGAGAGTAAGAGTAACAACTGGGATATAATAATGAAAATCCTAGAATAAAGATGAACTTGGCATGAGAATACAGCCGCATGAACACCTCAGACCCTAGTGGTTGTAATATTTTCTGTACATCTGCACCATTGGTGCACAGTTAGTATCTGCTGTATGCTATTGTAGAGGCATATATTTGACTCTCTGTATGTCCGGCTTTACTTTTTAATAATAACAATCAAACAGAGTCTGAGTCTTCTAAAGAAATATGCTGTTTTACAGGGTCTAAAGTTCCCGTGGGAGAGTGCTGTGTCAGGGAGAGAGGTGTGTCCAGAGGACATTTATGGACAACAAGAGATTCACATCAACGGAGATGTCACATTGGCTTTCCGGCACTATCTCTACCTCACCGAGGTATGCTCGTTCACATCCCCACTCACTGCCCCTTCTACCTGGCGTCGTTAATCTAGCTCTTTGCTTTAGGATCTGTCCATGTTCAGAGAGGGACTGGGCAGCGAGGTCATCTATGGTGTGGCTGATTACTGGGTTTCAAGGGTAACCTGGAAGCCCGAGGACCAGAAATATCACCTAGATGGTACTCAACCTCGTCACGCTAAATAAATTCAGTGCATCAGTTACCCGCTTTAATGAAAGGATCTGACTCACACTTTGGTTTATTTTATATTGAACGTTAACTTCATGTTGTTTCCATTCAGGTGTCATGCCACCCGATGAATATTACTACAATGTCAATGACTCTGTGTACACAAACACAGTGGCCAAGCTTGGGTATTTGTATTCAAGATTAAACTTATAACTATAACACCTTATAACTTATGTCTTATCAATACCAGTAATAATGAAAATATCTTATTTGCCAGTCTTCAGTTTGCTGTTGAACTGGCTGAACTCCTTCAGCACCCTGCGCCGAAAGAATGGCAAGCAGTGGCCGAATACATTAAGATACCTTTTGACGAAGAGCATCAGTACCACCCTGAGTACGACGGCTACATTAAAGGTTAATATTTGTTTCTGTTAAGAAAGAACCTTAAATATTCTTAACTTGATGCCAGAATGTCCTCTGGGTGACAAACAGGGCATCCCGTGAAGCAGGCGGACACAGTGTTGCTGGGATATCCTCTTGGATTGCCGATGTCCCCAGAGGTTAGAAGGAATGACCTTGAAGCATATGAGCCAGTGACAAACCCTCACGGTCCAGCCATGACATGGGTATGAAAGACACAGCATCCTCTATGGTCACATGAAACTGCTGAATGAACTAAATTTGAGGTTTGTTGAATTTGTGTCAACAAGAATTAACCTCCTAGGACCTGGCAACCACATCATATTTTGTCCCAATAGTAGAAAGAAATTAAAAATACATGCCATGAAAGAGTTTGGGTCTTATGAGGTTAAAGTAGTTATTAAGACAAAAGGGGATCCAAATCAGTACTTAATGTACTTAATACGAAGTCTTACTTCTCAGTGTGGTGCAGTGACTGACTTTTGTGTTCATATTTGAATCAAAACTTTTTACTTTCCATTTTCAGGGGATGTTTGCAATCGGCTGGCTGGAGCTCGGGGAGGCTGAGAAAGCTCAGCTTTTACTTGAAAAGTGCTTCAACAACATCCAGGGCCCGTTCCAGGTACCCTTTGGCTCACACATCCACATAAACACACACCTGACATTTACTGGGATTGAAGATTGATTACCTTTCCTCGCAGGTATGGAGTGAATCATCCGATGGCTCCGGTGCAGTCAACTTTCTCACAGGTATGGGAGGATTTCTGCAAGCTGTGCTGTTTGGCTACACCGGTTTTAGGTTAGTTCTTAATCCAGGAAATAAACACTTCGGTGTGTTCAGTCCACAGTGTGTTCACAGTGATACAAAGCTTCACATAGTTGTTTTATATCCTAGAGTTCAGAAGGACTGCTTGGCATTCTCGCCACTGCTTCCCAACGACGTCTGCGAGCTTTGTGTCCGTGGTGTGAACTACCTGGGCAGCCAGATGGACTGGCTGCTGAGGAAGGAAGAAGTCTGTATCATACTGAGGGAACAGGAAGGCAGTCCAGGCAACACTAAGCCCTGTAATTTACAAGTTGTCCTGAAGGCATCAGGAACTAAAATCCCCCTCACACCAGGTAAAGCACAAGTTCAAACATGCAGTTTGAACATGCAGCTCTTCAGAGCAAGTTTTATTCATGAAAATAATTTGATAGTTTCTGTGTTAATAAGAAACAAACACGTCTCACAGTATAGCAAAAAGAAATGATCATTTAACTGTTTATATGGGGACACAATATTGATAGAAGTGAAAAACATTTGAATCTCATAATCAGGGAAAAAAACTTCAAGACTGTGATCTTCTCCAGCTTACCTTATCTAGGCTGGAAGTGATGTAAAAATAATGTGTGGGGCATAAACTCAAAAGCATAGCCTGCCAGAAAAAGAGAAAAAGATTGCAAACCAGTGTGCATACCTGAACCTGATCCAAACTTGTATACGTCTATATTTTCAGGGCAGCCGGTAACTTTCCCTCGAGAGCCCGGATACGTTTGCAAACTGATTTCATCTGCTTCCTGCTGGCTTTTCTGAAACCTGAGCACCGATCCTCCGAAACATTTCACATGCTGACAGTTGAAAGCATATTATTTGTTTTTATTATATTTTGCTTGATTTACTAAATGTATGGAATAAAGAAGGGCAGTGTTAATTTAAGTCCCCCAGCAGCTACGGATCTGAGCAGGGCAACAAATAATACACTGATGGATTTGTGTAATATTTGTGGACTTTTAAAGTTAATTTAAAAAATACAGAGAAACTTTGAGTCTAAATTACTGAGTTATTGAAGTTTGTGATGTCAAAGGAAATATGATTATCAGAGTTATTAAAATTACGTATTTTTATTTAGTGTTTTTGTTTTAGTTTTGAATCTCTTCCTTTCACTTTAGTTCAGAGCAGCTTTGACATTTGAGTTTAATCTTTGTAAGTTTTTTTTATATTTTATGTATGCTAATTGTCCTTGATCAAGATGGGACTCACCAGGCACCGCATTGTAACAATATTATCACTTGATTTAACTCACGATATGATACTATAGCAATTTTAAACATTTTGTCATATGCAGAGTATTGCAGTAACATTTACTGTGATTTACCAACGGGAGTATTATCAGAATACAAGCCGCTGGCAGCCAGTTGAGTCGGGTCCCCTCAAGTTTGTTTGTTAATCAAGACTCAGACATCTGGAGACTGATGGCAACATGTTCGCCATCTGTCTGCATTTATAAATTAGACAGCAATTATTTGCACACCTTCAGCAATCTGTCTGACAGTGATTGCAGTCAGTCCAACTCAGACTGCAGTTGTTTGCAGGAATGCATAATGTGATCAAATTAAACAAATCACCAGCCATCAATTTCTTTTATAGGTTTAAGGAGGTTGGTGTTTAATTTTCACTCATGTGACTAAGCCAATGTCTTGAATTAGGAGATAGACTTGTCAAACTAAGTGTATAAAGTGTAGGATGTTGTTTTGTTTAACTGATTTAATGTAAATTTGCTCTTCCAAGGTTCCTCAGGAGATGTGGTGCGTGAAAAGAGCCCTCCTTTCTGCAGTGTTCGAAGAGTATTTTACTTTATTTGAAGAGATAGATATTTGGTGTCTTTGTATTGATACATTATCACCATGTAAAATATTGTGACACTCCCTAGTGTCTCTCTACTTGGTGATAATGAATACTTGCACCATCTCCTTTGACTAATTTAGGGAGTAAGTTTTAGTGAACTATGTTAATTTGCCTGACACTAAGCACATCCACACTATTTAATGGTGACTGTTAGATGATTAGAGTTATAGTTAGATATGCCATGCAAAAAAGCAAAACACTAAACAACTTACAATAATTAAAATGCATTATAGACTTTTATTTATGATTGGAAGGATGAGGGCACAAGAGTATGTACACAATGCATTTCTGTTTACTTTGACTTACAGACTACCATGACCTTTGTGAGATTCATGACTTCAAGCATCCTGTAGCTTTGCTTCCTGACAGGAGAAAACTATTTTAGTCTGCAGGGGGGGAAATCCAGAGGAAGGTCATCACTGTTTTACTTGAAATACAATTGTGTCGTCTTCTTGATTTAGGCACACTAGAGTCTGTGCTTGTGTTGTGCGTGCTTGCTACCCTCTACCCTTTAATCGTCAAATCCCTTGTGGTAAACTATTATATAATCCAACACCATCTAGATTCTTAGGTTTTTCTGATACTGAGCACATCCACACTTTCCATCCAGATGTTTACCAATAAGAGCCAGCCGAACTCTAAACCCACAGTTTCCAAGCGTGATTTTAAATAATAAAAAGAAAAAAGAACGAAACAAAGAATAAAATACATTTCTCTAACTGGTCCACTTTGGTTATATTTCACTGTCATCCCTGCGTGTTTGAGTGCTGGAGGACGACAGATCTCCGATTGGTCCATTTAAATCTGGGCAGCGCAGTAACTCCGCCTTGAACGTCTGCTCGGGTTCGCACGATTTGAGTTCTCGTGTCACGAATTTCGGCACTCCGCCTCATCCCCAGCTATTCTGACCGGGGTGAGCTCCGCCCATCCAAATATTCCAATCCACAAATCGAACGCCTCCCGGGGTCACAGCGCTTCATGATTGGCTGGAGAGGTTTGAACAAGGTATAAACGGTTTCAGCGGGACAGTTTGTAGGGTCGCTGTTGTCTTCTTGGGTATTCATTAAAGTAGGAAGCCCCTCGTTTTAGCAAATTTGTCTTTTACGCAAGTATGCGATTGATGTAGCTTTTTAAAATAAGCGGAACAAC